GAGCAGAATGCCGTTCAGCTAAATACTTTAGGCACATGGTGGCCAGAAACGAAGCAGAAGCTGTGCCGTAAGTGACGGTGGTAAGCTCGTAAGTATCGACACTGGCAGAAGGATCCTCGCGCCAAAGTATCCTCTGCAAGCACGTTTGAGATGCATGGACTGAAATTTGCCGATACATTTTCACGATATCGGCGGTGATAACGTAAATGAAAAAACGGAAGCGCATCAATATTGAGATCAAATCCTGTTGAACGACCGGGCCCACGAGTAACGCATCATTTAGAGACACGCCGGAGCTGCTACGGCAAGAGGCGTCAAATACTATTCGGATTTTCGAGGATTGTCCAACCGTTTTGAATACACAATGGTGCGGGAGGTAGTAGGATATCGGTTCGTCAGTTATGGGCGGCTCTAACCGCCGCATGTGCCCCAGCGAAAGGTACTCCTCGAGAAACGCTGCATAATGACCCTTGAGCGTGGGTTCGCGCTTGAAACGTCTCTCGATACCCCTTAATCGTTTGAAGGCTATCTCGCGCGAATCGCCGAGATTGCTTAGCACCCGCTCCCTGACCGGAAGCTTAACCATGAACCTACCCTCGATGTCTTGCGACACATTGTCTAAGAAATGACGCTCACAGGCGCTTTCTTCGATCGTGTAATTATTTGATGGCACGGCTATGTCGTCCATTTCCCAGGCGCGACTAACTTGCTCATGCAATTCCGAATTGGCTATTGACGCGTGAAATGAATGAATCTTTGCGGGAGAGGTGGCGGTATTGCCTAAACGACCGGCTAAAATCCAGCCCAGTTGAGTTTTCTGCAGCGTTGGATGCTTGTCCGACGACTGAATTTGACCAACGCACGTTAATTCCCAAAACATTTCCGCGCCTATCAAGATGTCAACTTCCGAGGATATGTGGAATCGCGGATCAGCGAGACGAATGTTACGCGGAAATTCAAACTTGTCCCGTCTCAGAGAGAACGCCGGGATTTTATCAGTGACTTGATCA